CAGTTCAAGGATTACCTTTATCATTCGTCTGGATTTACAGTGTATACAGACAATAACCCTCTGACTTATATTTTATCAACAGCGAAACTTAATGCGACATGCCTCAGATGGGTGAATGAACTGAGTGATTTCAACTTTGATATCAAGTATCGTCCGGGACGGGCAAACGCTGACGCAGACACCTTATCTAGAATGCCTTGCGATATCGACAACTACATTAGCAACTGCACTGAAGTTCTGGACAAGCAGAGTCTCGGGGCTGTCACAAGTGCGGTCGAAGAATCCAGTGAGCCAACCACCGCTTGGTTAACATCACTCACCATAGCACCGTGCGTGGATGAAGGGGACACTGCGAAGAACACTGACTGCATCTCCACGGAAAGTATTGATCAAATACAGGGAAATTTCTTTACAACTTATTTGAATGTTATGCAATGCTACAGACCTGTGCACAACAACAAGACCCGGACATAAGCAGAATTCTACACTTCAAGAGAGAAGGAAAAAGACCGGTCACCACTGAGAGACAAGGCGAAACCCCAGCAGTTAAACAAATGCTTCACGAGTGGGAGAAACTTCAAGTCGGTAAGGACGGTGTTCTCTATCGTTTTCTCGGCGCAAAGAACCAGGTGGTACTACTTAGAAAGCTTCGCAGGACGGTGTACACCCAACTACATGACGAGATGGGACACCTGGGTGCGGAGAGGACAGTAGCGTTAGCTAGAGAGAGATTTTACTGGCCGTTCATGCAGTCTGATATTACTCACTACGTGACCAAGGTATGCAGMTGTCTCAAACAGAGGAAACCAACAGCAGYCACTAGAGCTCCACTTCACTYCATTCATACTACTATGCCTTTCGAGCTGGTRTCAATAGACTTCCTGCACCTAGACAGGGGTGTTGGTGGCTATGAATATGTACTCGTAGTGATGGACCACTTCACACGCTTCGCACAAGTGTACCCCACCAGAGATAAGTCTGCGAAAACAACCGCTAAGAAACTGTTCGATGATTTCATTCTAAAGTTTGGCTTTCCGCAAGCCATCCATCACGACCAGGGTGGTGAATTCGAGAATCAGCTGTTTGACCATCTTCAGAAGCTCAGTGGAGTAAGACACTCGAGGACTACGCCCTATCACCCACAGGGGAACGGTCAAGTAGAGCGGTTTAACCGAACATTGTTAGGAATGCTTCGAACACTGCCCGAGGTACAGAAGTCTCGCTGGCCAGAGCATCTGAATGAGCTCACGCATGCCTACAACTGTACCCGCCATGACAGTACTGAGTTCTCCCCGTTTTATCTCTTGTATGGCAGGAATCCACGACTACCCATTGATTTAATGTTTGGTCTTAAGCCACCTAAGGGATACTACAACTACCCAGGATACGTCAAACAGTGGAGACAAGCAATGAGTGAAGCATATGATCTTGCAGGAAAACAAGC